AGGGGACCCTCAGAAGTGGGGGGCACCGGGAGCAGAGGAGGCCCTCTGCAGTGGGGGGCCGAGGGGCGTGTCCGGGAGCAGGAGGACCCCAGGAGTGGGATTTTGCATGGGGTACCCCTTGGAGCAGGGTGAAGAGTTCGCAGGGGGTTGTGGCCCAGTGTGCCCCCCAGCACCTGGAGTAGGTGGGTACCAGGAGAGAGGGGAAGGTCAAGGCTTGAGTAATCTGGGGTCTCCAAAATAGAGGGGGGAACAGTGAGGGCAGGCACCCTGCTTCCCCCGCTCCTGCAGGTGTGTGGCATGATGAGTTCCCCTGGCAGGGCCAGCAGCGCCTTTCCCCTGCACGTCCTGGTCTGGAATAATGACTACAGGCGTCTGGACGAGGAGCTGCAGGACAAGGTAACTGTGACGCCCGGGCAGTAGAGGGGCCACTGTGGCACTGGTGACCCCAAAAGAGCTTGTGCCGTGGTACAAGGGGGTTTGGTGCCCCTTGCTTGCTGCATTTCTAGGGAGAAGTAACCTTAACGGTACTGCCAGGTCTGTTTGCTGGGCTTGTGGGATTGCTGCGCTTCTCTTTCTTTACCTATTTATTTGTGGTTGCGGGAGTGATGTAAGAAGGCGTAGGAATATACTTTTTGTTATGTAAGATACTAAACATTGACTTCTTGTTTGTAAAAGCTGTGCTCAGAGCATTTGAGTGCAGGTTGCAGAATAGCTCTATGGAAAATATTTGGACTTGTTGAAATAGATCAGGAATAGCAGATATGATGGATGTTAGTTTTTTTGTGTGTGCCAGAAAAACAATAAATATTGCTTATCTTAATGGGAAGTCAACATGCAGCAAAGGTGGCTGCTGCTGCCGAAGATGAAACCAGCCTCTAGCTTGCTGAGAACTAGCTGTTCTTACGGCTGCGTTGCTGTCCAAGACTGTGGGGGCAGCATTTTTATACTGGCTGTGATGTTTTCAGCATCTCTGGTAAAAAAATGGATCATTGTTTCATGCTGTAGAGTAGAAAAATACAAAGCCGTTCCCTCTCTGGGATAGCTAAGTGAGAAATGGTAATGATGTAAGGAAACGGTTGGAAAAGCTGCAGCGGAGCTTGAGCAGTAAACATCTGTCTTGCCGAGACGCTCTGTAAAAGCTCTGATATTCGCTAGTGTGGGGTATAGTTTGCAGAAGCAGAGCATATTAATTACATTATACCTGACACCACAAGTATATGAGCCAAAGATCAGCTGTGCCACCTCCTGACTAGTGATTATCATCTGCAATTCTAACGGTATATCACAATTTACTAATGCTTGCTTAGAGCATGCTCCTGTCCTATTTTTAGGAGAATCTTTGGAATGCAGTTTTTTATCTAATTCGTGTGATCTTATCCCTTAACAAAATCTTTAACCTTACTGGCACATTGCTTCTGTATGTTTATTTCTGTTCCAATAGTGTTCTCACCTGTGAAGGTTTGCCACTAAATAAGGAGCATTCTGCTTCTTATTAGTCTGAGACGGCAGCTTACACCTGTCAAGTGCTGCTTCCTACCTCAGATGCTTTATACTGTAAGGAAATGAGCAACGTGTGGAGATGGAATATGTCTGTCTCTTACTTCCTTTATCTGCTTTTAAATAACTTATTTTTTGAAGTATTCCAAAGATACATTTCCTCCTGCTTCCTTGGGATAAGCTTATTGCTGTTGGAGGGGTGCGTGAGGGAACCAAAAGACACTTGCCAGCTGCACTTGGTACAGCAAATGATGGGTAGAACATGTGGTTACCGGTTAACAGCAGCAAAAACGATTGGGAGGGACGCCTTCGAGTCCTTTACCTGTCAGTGCTGTAGGAAGTGGGGAAGCAAATTAATCACTGTTCCACCACAAAAGTGAAAAGAGAATGCTTTGAAATGAAGCTTTCCCTACTCTGTGTGTGATCTTTCCAACTTAATGCTGTCAGATAACCATGTTAACTTGCATAATAACTTTCCTCTCTTATTCTGCTATTGACTTTCCCCTTTTCCTTTAGTTATAGATGCTCTTCTGTTTCAAATCTCTAAGCTAATAGTGAAAAATATGTAAGGTATGAGTATGTTGTGCTTGCATGTTTTGGATATTTATGCCTGTGTAGTAGTTTGGTTTTTTTTTTTTTAGTGACTTGTACAAAATGCACTCACTCTTCATTGTGCTGTGTGTGTCAGTCAAATGGATGCTTTGTAAAATACCATTTGCTTCTATACTTTCAAAGAGCGCTATACAAAATTGATGTTGTATGCCCTGTTACTTCTGTTTTTTCCTCCTTCCCGCCCGCCCCGTTATGTTGTATAATGTTAAACCCTCTATTGGCCTCTTGCGCTGTTGACTGTCCATTGTGCAGTGCACACAGACTAGAACTCCTGTCTTCTCCTGAAAGACACCCCTTCTGAAGGGAGCCAGGAGGGGAAATAATTACAGGAGAAGAAATGAAAAGCATCAACAAGAACTCAGTTGTCTTACAGTGATATCAGTTCTTACCTTGTTGGTTTTATAGGCCCTGTTCTGCTTCTCTTTTTATTTCAGTGGGGAAGTAAGACTGCACTGTACGGAGTGCAGAAGGGCAGTACAGTACAATAGTGTTTGAAAACGGAGTCGGCTGTGCATCACAGACCGATACGTGTGAATACCTAGGGAATATTGACTCCTGGATTACTACTGAGGAGCTTTGTTTATATAAACTCCTCTCAGTGTGCTCTGATAAGTTGCATTTGACAGGACAGCTTCAGCATTATTTCTCTCTCGGATACTCAACAGGATGTTGATCAACGTGATCCACGAGGCCGGACCTTGTTGCACCTTGCTGTTTCCTTGGGTTATATAGAATCTGCCAAAGTTCTCCTTCAACACAAGGCAGACGTAACTAAAGAGAACGCACAGGGATGGACAGGTAAAGATAACTTGTAAAACGGAAGTTGTGTGTCAGTACTTTTTAGTTGCAGATGTTGTATTTTGACTGCTTTTACATTGTGTATTTTGCTCAGAAAGCAAACTGAAAATAGCTTGCGTCTGGATTTCTTTCAGTTTTACATGAGGCTGTCAGTACAGGAGATCCAGAGATGGTACAAATGATTCTGCAGCATCGGGACTACCAGCAGACCTCTATGACACTTGGAGGAGTTCCTGAATTACTCCAAAAGATTAATGAGGTAATTACTTAGTTTAAACCTCTTGCTTCACACCGTAATTCTCATTCAAGTAGTTCAGGTAAGTAAGCTGAAATCAGATGAGCAGTCGTGTTATCCATTTCAACTTGCATATTCCATACCCCTATGGGAGATGGAGACTTTTTCCTTGACTTTACTTTGAAATTCTTAGTAACAAACTCCAACATTGGAGGCTGAATCTTGATGGTGTTACTGCTCCTATAGTAAAATAAGGAAGAACAGTTTGTCAGAAAACAGCAGTAGTAGGCCAATGTCTTTTATGTTTTTTAGTTTCCATTTCATTTTTGTAAACCTTCATTTTCATGTCTCCAGTTCTGTTCTTTTTCGTTTTCCTTTATCTAAAATGTTCACAAAAAATGCTGTACTGAATGTCAAATTAAAACTTATTTCATAAAGTGTTCATAAAGTGCATTCCTTTTCCAGACTCCAGACTTTTATGTGGAAATGAAATGGGAGTTCACTAGCTGGGGTAAGAATCCTGGTCATTGTTACCTCCTTTTAACTGTAGACAAAGGGACTTGCTTATGTACAGATGTCACAAAAGATATGCAGAGAAATTTCTGCTCCCCAGAATACTTACCTTTTCACCTCTCAAAAGAGCCTCTTATATTTTTGTTGCACTATTATTCTTTGTTTCCTGTTTATCTGGTTGGTTTGTTGGGTTTTTTGGTTGTGGTTTTTTTCCTAATGGAGACTTTAGCCATTGTTAGAATCACTGAAGACTTTTCTTGGGGTTTTGTTTACCTATCTCTGGCTATCGACGATTAAGACAGTGATAACATATTTCATATATAGATGCACAGACTACTTATGAAGTACCTGCTCTTCTTTTAAAAGAGTGAATGCTAAGCCTTACAGTTGATATAATTTGCCAAATGGCAAACTATTAGACTGCTAGGAGATTGGGTTTATGCCATTTCTCATCTTTCAGTCTGAACTAGTCTTTTCCTTTTCATGTTCATCTGAAAATTAAAGTTGGTGGGTTTTGTCCCTAAGCTGATTGTTCCTAAAGCTAAAGAGGATGAGTATCTCGCCTCCTCTGGAATAATGATCATAGTACTGAGCAATCCTGTATCGGGGCTATAGCTTCTGCTTGAGTTCAGACTTCCTGGCCTCAAGTTGCGCCAGGGGAGGTTTAGATTGGATATTAGGAAAAATTTCTTCACTGAGAGAGTGGTCAGGTATTGGAACAGGCTGCCCAGGGAGGTGGTGGAGTCGCCATCTCTGGAAGTGTTCAAGAAACGTGTGGATGTGGCACTTCAGGACATGGTTTAGGGGACATGGTGGCGCTGGATTAATGGTTGGACTTGATCTTGAAGGTCCTTTCCAACCTAGTGATTCTGTGATTCCTGTGCTTTTAGTCTCCTGAATATTTTCTGTTTACACTTTTCTCATTTTCTTTTATAGTTCCACTGGTTTCTAGGGTTTGTCCAAGTGATGTCTGCCGCATCTGGAAAAGTGGTGCCAAGCTGCGTGTTGATATCACTTTGCTGGGCTTTGAAAATATGAGCTGGGAGAGAGGAAGGCGTAGTTTAATTTTCAAGGGAGAAGGTAAATATTTTAGCATGACTGCACCATTGATCACCAAATACTGTATCAGCCACAATGAGAAACCCCGGTTTTGTTCAAAAAGACCTGTTAAGGCCGAATGCTGAATTTTAAAAGTTTTATATTTGTATTCCATGAATGTCTAGTAGAGATACTGTTTCGTGGTGTAACATAATGGCTTAATTTCTTTGCTGTGAGTACATCTGAGGTCAAAATTTGGTAATAGGGCTAAAATTTTACTTCAGTCTCTTACTTACTTCTCCTCCTTCTGTTCTCCTCCCCCCTCCAATAAAAAACCAAATTCTAGATACAGCTCCAAATTTGATCTTAGCTGAGAGCAAAATACAGTGAATTAGCATCCACCCTGATTCGATATACAGTATCTTCTCAGTTTTTCTTTCTGGAATAATGTTGCTAAGTTTTTAGATTGAAATGTACCATTTCCAACAGATACTGGAGGTTGGGCAGAACTAATTGAGATAAATCATGATGATAAATTTGTTACAACGGAGCGTTTTGAGATTTCCCAACACATGAAACGTTTGACACTGGGATCTATGACACCAAAAAGAAAAGACGTGGAAAGACGCCTTACATCTCCAATTATTAATACGTGCCTTGATACAAAAAATATTGCTTTTGAGAGGTAAGATACAAAGTTTCTGCTAACAAATGAACACTTTAAGATTATGGATGGTCATACTTGCAATAAAGCTTTAAAGACAACCTCTTAAAAGTCCTGGTAATAAAAACTTCTAAGGCTAGGTCTGAAATTACTTTAAACTTTACATACCATTAGGTAAAGAAATCTGGCTTGATCAATTTGCTGCTATTGCTTGGCAAAAATTTCCAGTTCAAAGAACTGACTAGCAGAAAGATTCCAGTTTATCATATTAGTGAGATCAATGTTAATGTCTCATTACACGTTTGCATTTCACCCAAATCCATAAGTATAGCGTTGAAACTAATGGGCCAGCACTTGCATCTGGTAGCTAAGTCAGTCAAGTCTCCTATTAATACTTTAAATAAAAATACGTCTATTGTGCCTGTGGAAAGACGCGTATTTGTCTTCCTCGTTTACTACATGTGTTCATCCAGGTATCTGTCACCTTAGTTCAAAGAACCCTTCTTACAAAGTTCCTTTTGGAGCAGTAAAAATGCCGCAAGATCGTGCTGTAAACAAGCATTTTCAAAGTGAAATGTATAATTCCAGCATCTTTCTCCTGAATATTTTGTACCCTTTCAAAGCTACCCAGAATCAGTCCCTGTGATGTTAGTGGCTGCAGCATCTACACTTCCAGAAACTAAGATTTCCTAGACAGAAGTATTCTTACCATCCAGTTCCCCAAATTGCAATGACAGGTTACTTTTGTAATTAAAATGTGTGTTAAAAGCTGCCATGTCCAGGCTGTCGAAAAAATAATTTGGTAAGTTTTTAGGCTGTCATCCTCCTTTGTGGCTCAGGTATCCTCATCTCAGTCTAAAATCTGTGAGCCTTTGTGAGGCTTTGGCTGTGGACTGAATAAGAACAGAAACAGCACGACTTCCTCAGCCCTCTTGGCATGTGTGTGTGAGGACTGATTGACTTGGGCTTTTGTCTGGGATTAAAAATCAAATAACCTATCAAATATTTAAAAACAATTTTAGAAAACTGGGCTGGGGATTGTGTAGAAATGCAACTGTAATAGACGCTTGTGATTTTCACTTCTTGTCAGAACCACATCTGGATTCTGGGTATGGAGGACAGAAAAAGCGGAAGGTGTAAATGGTTATGAAGCAAAGGTAAAGCCTGTTCTATATAATTAAGAGGTCTTACAGTGAACTGAAGTGTGATTCTGTTTTGCCTTTATTTCCTGAATATTTTGGCTTCTAAACTTCCCATCGAGAGCTTTATTGTGTTGCCAGCAGAACTGGGCAGGAGTGAGGAACTTCAAGGCTGCCAAGCTTGTGGGAGGGATGGTGCCTGTATGGAGGAATGTCAGTAGGGGCCTTAGTGGAGAGGGAGGATCAAAGCATTTCAGGAGAAGAGGGACAAAATATAAAGCATAACTGCTAGAACTCCCTTCCATCCAAAAACTGGAATTGAACTAATTCTTGAATGTTGCTTAAAAGACAAGGAACCCACTGGTGAAGTGCCTTGAGCCCTCTCTAGTAGCAGTATTGCAAGGCAATAACAGCCTCCCGCTGCCATGAGTTGCATCACGAGTTCAAGTAATAAAAGACTGCTGGTAAATTAAAGACCCTGACCATGCTCATGAGTCATGCAGTTGCTTAGATTTGTTCCGTGTGACACTGCTTTTGTCTTCCATTTCACTTTAGTGAAATATTTTTGAAGATGGCTTTACAGCCTTACTGGTTTAGGTACTTAAGTTAATAATCACAAGAATTAACTTCCCCGATTCGTAAGTCTGTGTTTACTCTGGGTTTTGGAATTTGTGCAATAAACCATGTTTTGTAATTTCATTTAACAGAAGGGTAGGTGTAGAAAGTTATTCAGCATTTATATGAAGATTTTTCTCGTAAGACTGCAGGACTATTCAGTTGGACGTTGGGGTTCATTAGTGTTCCTGCAGAATTAAACTATCACTAAGTTTCATTTGGAAGGTCTTATGAGTGACCTGTTTAGAAACATTATTATCTGACTTTCCTTCCCTGCTCTGTCTTAAAATCTCTGCCCAGGTTGGGGTTCTTTCCAGCAAGCTTGGAAATTCCTGTCTAGTTTTGAGGCTGGTTTAGTTACTTACACAAGCATGTTTAAAAGCATGAATGTGCTTTCCAGGAACTTGGTTGAGAGGCTGACTTCTGTTGCCGTTGAAGTCGGTGACCAACCTCCTTTGCTATTCTTTCGGCACAGGGTGCTTGCAAGATTAATGCTGTCTGGAGATACTCCGGTGTATGTTTTGCAGGGTTTTCTTATTTCATCAACTTGCCCAGCAGGTGGCATGGAGTTTCAGCCTTATCATAGGTCTGTCAAGAATATATTATATAGAATTTCCATTATACCAAAGCGAATAGAAGAAAATAGAAAAAGAAGTGCAGCATTTCCTGTTCATCACCAGTATGTTAAAGATTAAGATCTTTGTCAATGACAGGCAGATACATGCTGCTTTATTCTGTCTTTAGGTTTGTATACATGGTGTTTTACTAGAGAGAACTCTCTTAATCTGTGACACTTTTTGGTTTTGTCCTTGTACCTTTTTTATTTTTTTAAAGGTATACATTGCAAACAATGTGAATGTGGTTACAAAAATCCGAACGGAACATTTAACAGAAGAGGAGAAGAAAAGATATAAAGGTAGTTTTCCTGTAGGATAACTGGAAATAGAACCTTTTGGCGCTCTGATACCTTCTCTGAGTGACTGCAGGAGAACTGGGCAGATAGACAGGGGAAATAACTGTTCTTGCTGACCTTGCCCTGCTTTAGTTTCACATGTTGGGTGCCTGAGGTAGCTCATTACTTGACTCCTAGCTTACAAATGAATCAGTATTTATCCTAGCTGTATTTAGAGAAAACAGCAGCCATTTAAAACTGTTGAAGGTTTATTGAGAGTTTCAAAAGGCTGCACTTTTCCATGTTTTTTCCTGCTCTGGAAGTATATTCATGCCTTTGCTTCACTTTGGCCATGATTACAAGATTCACGTAGGTTTTGTTTGCTTGGACTTTTTGTTTTGTTTTGGTCCACTGCTTGCTGGTATTTAAAACAGAGTAAGGAGTGACCACCCAGTAGCCTTGTATGGAAACACTGCCCTTCATTGGCCTGCCTAGGAGGAGAGGCACTGTGAATAGTAAAGCTATCTGCTAATGATAGAAACTACTGAAAATCTTTGTCTCTGTTCTGTGTATTGTACCCATTTTATACTGTCACCTTTAGGTCCTGGGCTTGCCATGTAAAGCTTAGGGGAAATGTGAACGGCTTACTTCACTTTGGATTAGAAGCCTTGCTTGTTAGCCTGGTGTGTATGTAAATTTTACTGCAAATTAACAATAATAGCTATTTTTGGGTTTTCCCTTTTGTTATCTGAAGCTGACAGGAACCCCCTGGAATCATTTCTGGGTACAGTGGAGCATGAGTATGGTGCTCAGGTGAGTGTCTTTAACATTGAAACAGGTCACTGCAGTGCAGGGATCTGTGCTGATAGGAATTCCAGGTGTGTGGAATTGCCTCGTTTCCTTAGTTTGACAGCAGATGCACAGAACTCAAAGTCTCGTTTGATAACGAGGTCTAAATTTTCACTGAGAATGTTTTTGTTTGTTTTAAGCCCTCAAATGTTCTGTATGAATAGCAGGTACCTCCTTCTGAACACTCTTATGAAAAAGAGATAGAATCCGTTAGCACAGCAAGAGCCGGGGTGTGAGCAGTGGCAGTAAATCTGAGCAAGCACAGATCTTAGAGTCAACCCACCAGTAATCTGGGAAGACATGTCCACAGACCGGCAGGAGCTTCAGGTGGGAGATAGTGCTAGCATGGTGATCGTTGGACAAAGATATGAGAGGGTGAAGTGACATGTTAGCACACTGCTCTTCAGCAGCTCGAAGGAAAGCCATGTATCCTGTGTTGATAATGATTTCAATATGGCTTTAGAAACTCCCTTGCATCTGTACATGCTTAAGTAGATAATAGATTTGCCAACTGCTGGCTCTGTATCAGGACAGCATTGCAGATCTTTCGTAGACCTAGAGATTTTTTTCTTTAAAATACCCCATCGAAGTTTTGTCTTTAATAAAGGATTTGGGGCCTAGAAATGCTGTAGCTTGTGTGCGCGTCACTGGTCGGTTTCTAGCTTTGAAGTATTTAAGTAGATTTTCCTGTCTCTAAAATGCTTGGAGATTTTTAACCTCAATAGAAAGCATCCTAAACGCATGCACTTGTATTTATGGCTTTGTGTCACTGGTGTCTAAAATAGAGAATGAGTTACTTCACAAGAGGTAACTGAAAAGTTTCTTATAGTAGGCACTGTCTATTTGTTCTGTACTTTTGTGTTGGGTTCTTTTCCCCTCTCTTCCCTTGTAGAGTACAACCAAGACAACAGAGTATGCTGCAAGTAACAATCCTACTGCTATTACTCTGGAGGAATACTTTGACCCAGAATTTGATTTGAAAGGTAGAGACATAGGAAGACCGAAAGAAGTCACCATTCGAACGCAGAAGTGAGAAATAAAATTTTAACTATTTCTAGTTTGTCTCTGCCCAGTTATCTAATCTCTGGAAACCCCTTTTACTAATAGGTGTGGTTTTCCCCCAGCTTTCAAAATTAATCAAAAGAGAGATCTTGAAGTATTCAGCTATAGTCTAATTCTTCTTCCACTAAGTCAAAGAAAACATTTGGACTAGTGCTGTAACTTTTTAGGAACCTCCTGTGCTTTGCCTTTAGCCTGACCAGGAATGTGGTTTGGTTTCTCAGAGCAGTAACTGCTCTGACTCTTTGAAATGTATGAAGCAGGTGACAATGCTATGTATCTTGCTTTGCATCTGTTCCTAAACTGTAAACTTAGCATGTTTTTATGCAACTTTCTCTTTAAGATTTAAAGCAACCTTGTGGATGAGTGAAGAGTTTCCCTTGTCTCTTATGGAACAAGTCACTCCAATCATAGATCTGATGGCCAGAACTAGTGCTCATTTTGCCAGACTTAGGGATTTCATCACTCTGGAATTTCCACCAGGTTTTCCTGTCAAAATTGGTAATATTTAGCAATTTTTATTTCCATTCTTTCCATTGATTTTGCAGCATATTTTTACAAGAACCATGTTAGTTTTTTACTAGCCATCTCACTGATATCTAAAACTGAGAAGCCAGACATACGTTGTCTTGTACATCTGGGGTCATGGAGTCCAAATCCTAAATGACCCGTAGAGAAGTATAGTTTTAAAGACAGTATCATTTCAGTAAGAATGAGCTGTTGCTAGCCCTTTCCTCTTAGCTTCAGTGCCTTAGATTTGGCAAATCTTATTATAAAACAAGAGATTTGGAGAGAGAGAATGACTAAGGGCAACTTCTTGGTGAAGTGAGTTACTATATACTTTGTCATGTTGGGATGCTGCTTCTGGAATATATTCAATAAACATGTAAGGGTTTGATGTAGCTGTAAGTGTGGAAGTGAATGAGAGAGTTCTCTTTTTGATTGACTTGTACCCTTTCTTATAGAAATTCCCTTATTTCATGTGCTGAATGCCCGAATTACATTTGAAAATGTCAATGGCTGCAGGACAGCTGACAAAACGTCATCACAAACGGTTGGAGGTGCACAGTGTGATTCAGGTAAGGAGTGGAAAGATGCAGTGATCGCATCTTTTTACATTTCTGTCAGTGGAATGAACAGGAGAGAGGGATGGGTTAACTGCAGAGAATGAAACCTTCACAGGTGAGAAGAAGCCGCAATGCGTAACAGCTGATCTGGAGTGTGTGATACTGACCATGCCCACCCATTCTGCCCCTTCCATGCCTGCCAGACTGACTAAACTGAGCTCTAGCAAGCTTTCCCAAGTATTTTGAGGTCTAAATTCTGCTGCAAGCTATTGCTATGGGAAGTGGAATACAAAATTGCTGTAAGTGACAGCTCAGTCTGCATGCTCTTTCAGAAGAGAGTGGATTACGTTTGAGCAGGGCACCCATGACTGTATATCCAGTGATACTCTGTCCTATGAGCTGTTGCAGACCTATTCATTAAGAATAACCTCAGAAGAGCCACTGCACTGTTTATCTTTTGCAACTGTGGGGTTTTTTTTTTTTCCCCATCTGTTTTTCTCAGAGTTCAGCCACCTTAGCGCTCTGCTGCACACCGGTTTTATTTGTGTAACGTGCCAGCATCCTAAAGAAAGTCTGCATTCTGTCTTGCTGCTGTGCTTGTTTGCCACAGAAGTCTTTCAAAGCCTGTTGGTATTTTTAGCAAGGTGGTTTATGTGAATTTTTGGAAGTAACTTAATCATGCATAAGCATTAATTGGAATTTTCTAAGTTACAACTTGTAAAAATGTACTATGCCGTGTTTGTAACTATATTTGCCTTCTGTAGGTGCTAATTTCGAGGTTGACCAGTCAGTGTTTGAGATTCCCAAATCTTACCATGTCCAAGATGATGGTAGGAACATACACGTGCAGGATGAAGATAACGAAATCATGCAGTTTGCTATTCAGCAGAGTTTGTTGGAATCTGGTGGAAATAAAGTAAGTGTGCTGTAATCTGTGCAGTGCAGGTCTGACAGGTTTGACAAGGGCAGTGCAGCGATAGCTGCATCTCTAAATTAAATCTGTGTGTGGAAAGTGTCATGTAGAACCTATTTTTCTACAAACCTCAGAAGAGAAAAAATACAGTAACATATTTCAAAGAAGACATACGAGTGATTTAAGTTACCTTTCAGTGAGTTGCGCTGCAGATCTCTTAACTGCTGTGGAATTGTCTGTCTTTCCCCATTTCTAGGAAGTGGGAGTGCATTCCAATGGAGCAGTTGCATATTCACAGGACTTCAATATACAGTATCAGAGGTAACTAATTTTTTTTTCCACATCAAGCCATGCAGTGACAGAGCAAAAATACTTCCAAGAGCAGCATGAAGCAATTTTGCAAATTTTTTTTTACATGTTCATAGCAGATGCACAGAACTCAAAGTCTCTTTCCTTGTGCTTCTTCTAACTTTTACTTTTCCAAGAAGCAGGGACTCCAAACGGGGCCTGCCTGGCTTATATGGTATAGCTCTTTAGATCAGCTGTGGGACTGGTCTACTCACGTAATGGATTTATTACCCAACAAATAAATACAGTCCTTCTGTTCTGTTCTTAAGCTGTGAATTTGGGCCCTCTGCATTGAATGTTTGTTTATTAGATGCTGCGCGCTCCAGGGTAGCTCTTCTAGCAGCATATATTTAACGGACCCTTGAGAATATGCTCTGTGGGGTCTTCCTGCAGTTAAGTGCAAAGAAATTTTTGTGCACACAAAGAACTGCATCCTCTTGGTTCTTTTGTACATGGAAAATGTTACCTTTAAACTAGGTGAGAATGCTTTTAGAAACCCATTGAAAATGTAGCTGTTAGTATGTCTGACAAATTCTGAGGAACCTTCAAAGAATAGGTTTTACCTTGGGAATTTTAGGGATGCTGGAACAACTGCTCTCTTATCCTGAAAACTGCTTTCCGCCCTCTGGGGAGAGATTTTCAGGCTTGCCATTAGAAAACAGTTGCTAGGAAGGATCATTGCAGGAAACACAAAATAGGCTCTGTCTCTTACTTCTTGGAATTCTTCTTTTTCTTCTTCAGAGCACTGCAGGAGAGCTATCTAACAAGCTCAGGTAACTCACACTGCAGCACCCCTAGTGAACCTTCCAGTTTTGAAAAAGACTTACAGCTTGCCATGGAGTTGTCTGTCCGAGAGCAGGAGGAACGGGAGAAGCAACGTCGTGAAGAGGAAGATGCAGAGCTTCAGCAAGTTTTACAGCTTTCTCTTCTGGAAAAATAATTCCATAGTGATCTCCTGAAATAAGGATGACCAAATCTGCATAAAACTGAAGGCTTTCAGAGCTATCAGTCTGAAGACCACTCCTGGATTGCTTAAGTAAACATTTCACCTGCCTTCTTAGTTGGCACCATCAGCTACAGAAAGCTGATTTATTTTTGTTTGAGGGATTTTCAGATCACGGGACTTTGCATCTGTCTCCCCAACCGTGCAGTCTTAACTTTGAATGAAAGTTGTTATCTAAACTTATTTATTGAAGAGCAGATGGAAATTTTGCTTAGCATCAGGACATAGGATTGCAGTAAAGCTTGAAAACCTGATTTATGGGGAGTTCAGGAGAGAAACTTCATTACTTACCAAAGAAACACTCATGTTTGGTCATTTCTGAGTAACTCAAAGCCATTGTCTGTTTTTTTCCATTTGTTACGTGGAAGAGTATCTATATAGCCCTACACGCGTACGGTAGTTCTTCGTGCTGACAGTGTACCATGCTGACAGATATTTTCTGTTAGTTTTGTTTGTATGTGATTATCTCTTTAGTTACTGAGATTTTTATCATGTGCTCCTGCTTCAGAGGGATAATTTTGTACTTGAACAGCTAAACCAAGCTCAAGATTAAACTAGTGCTTTCTGAAAAAGGACAAAACAAGTAGCCAGTAAAATTTTAGATCCTAAAATGGGACCATCTGCCTAGTAAAGTAGCAGTTTCTGCAGTGATTCAAAACCAGCTAGCTCCCATAGTCAGAGGGCAGCAAGAAAATATGCGGTAGATACAGGTGCTTCTTGCGATCACTTGGTGTGCGTGCATGAGTGCATGCCTGTGTGTGGGTGCTAAATTCAAATAGAAAAAAAAATCAGGTGAAATTTTAATGTATACTTATTGGAAGACAAGTTTTAATTCTGTCATCTGAAAGGGAAATGTGTGTTGCTTTTTAAAATTCAAATGCTCATCCTTCATGTGAATACATATATTTTTTTATATGAGTATTTTTATTGATTTTAAAACAAGCCAATAGGACTACACTCATAAAAATGGTATTGTAACAATTAACTAGTATGTTTTAACCAGCTTTCCTCAGGTCTTTCATCATACAATATATTTGTAGCTATTTTATCTGCACTTCTATCAGTGTTTACAGTACTTACACTGTGACTCTCAAGTGCACTCCATAAGTACACAATGTACATCCACAGGAAAGCCTTACAGTAGTTAAATATGAGCAATATTCCTCGGTTCTGGCTGGCAGAAGCGTGAAGAACCTATGGTACATACGGTCTGACCTTGCTACCTAATCCTGCACTTGTTTCTTGGGCAAAACAGGGTGGTTCTGTGTAACCAACTATTAACCAGTATAAAATTGCTCTGAAACAGACTTGATTGTAACCAGTGAGATGGTTGGTAACTTGGAACCCTATTTTAAACCAATAATCCATTGTTTTACGTAGCGAATGATACCAATTCCTTCAGTGTACACTAGAACCGGTATATCTGCACCATTTTTGTTTCATGATACAGCTTGCATCCCTAAATAGCTTACTTGGTGTTTGCAGGAATGTGGAGACTTTTCTTGCACAATGGCAGTGGTCTATTGGAATTGCATCTTTCTTTGAGAAGGGGATTACTGTGACTGTCACAGTTGGAAGAAAAGGGAGTAAGTCTTGCATTGAGGTCTTGACAAAGTTGTGAGGTAGGAGATGAAACTGTGGGGTTTTTTCCTCCAGCAGAAATAAAGAGTGCTGTTGCCTTTATAAAACCATCTGCCTGACACTGCTTTTTTTCTCTTAAGCATTTCAAAGGGGTAGGGGGGAATATCTCTTTTTCAGGCTGACTTAATTCTCAGGTTTCTTCTTGTAAAGTAAAGAATATTGAGCAATTTCAGTTCAAGTTCTGTTACGGTCCTGCTTCTTAGTCTGGGCCTGTAAAAAAATTTTGGTGGGTTTCTTTTCTTTCTGTGACATTTGCATCGTTCCATCTAAATGAGAAGGCCCTGCTTCCCTGAAACAGGTGCTGCTTTTCTTAAATCTTACATCTCACACTATATGGGTAAGAAATATCCTCTGATCCTCTCTCTGTGCTGGAAAGAAAAACAAAGATACTGCACGATGTCGCACTACCCACACAGACACGAGGTTTTTTTCTAACATGGTAACTGGAGTCTTTTTTTTAAATGGTTCAATCTACCTTTTTGCTGCATTTTTGTACGTTAAAGATGATATTATCATCTATGAAACTATCAAAGAGAGTTTGGTTTTAGTCTGAGACAGACCCATAATCCCTGGAAACATTTTTCTGACATTTTCAGCCAACATTTGCCTCTCCCTGCTTTGAAAAGGGATCAGTACAATACAGACAGTCCGAAGGCGACAGGCATGGGGTGGCAGGACGTCAGTGCTCTTCATTCGTTTCTGTATGTACCTTTTTGTGAGTAACGGAGATAAGAGCAGCTCAGCAGCGGGTTGCACGCTGTGTTTAATATTAATGCTGAGACTGCTATAACAAAGCTGAGTCCAACTTCTCTTTCCAAGGAAGCTTGAGGCTTACGTAGGAACGCAGCAGCTCAGTTACAAATAGCTGTAGTCTGTTCTAAAACTGGAACTAGCTTTTCAAATTCTGTAAATTGATGCTATTTCCACAGTGTCAGTGCTGTTTGTTCCAGAAAGTGAGACAAAGTATGTACTTTTTTGTGCTCTTGGACTCTTGTTTCAATGTACAACAATTCATGATGTGCTTAATTTGGAAGTCCTTACGGTGCTTTGGCTGACTTGTTTCAAAGTAGAGTCTTCATGATGGAGTCAACTGAACTTCACCTGTTCATGCCTGCCAGGACCTGCACCATGCTTGCAGGATGAGCTCTCATTTTCAGTTTACTGTTCACGGTTTCTTGCTAACAAATATATGTGAAAGCGGGGACCTCACCCTCCTCTTCCCTTGCTGCTGAAAAGAGGGCAAGAACTGTAAGATTATGAGAGGTGGGAAATGGGACTGCCTCATCCCTTCATACAGCTACAGCCGAGTTAATAACAAACAGAACGTGCATGAATAAATAAAGAGTACTGGACAGTTTACTTAGCTTTTTATTTGTACAAAGGGACATAGCAGGGAGCAAAGAACGAATGCAAACAAGAACGCTGCCGCAGGGAACCCAGAGCTGTAGCTGCAAGCTATACCGTTCACCCCGCCATGAACAGCACCCGGCCACACGCCAACTTCTGCACCAGGTGAAGGACCGAGCAAAGTCAGTGATACAGGACCCAGTGATCAAAAAAAGGAAAGGAACAGTGTTACTTTGCTTCCTCACTCACGTTTCGCTTAGATTAGTAACTACATCTGTCCCAGGCCAGCCTCCTACTGTTATCTTACTAAGAAAGCAGCAGCAAAGAAAGTCCCCCGTTGCAATGAGAGTGGTCAGTGTCCTTTAAAACAAACTGAACCAAAAACACGTCCAGTGCAGCACAAGGTTTTAAAGAACAGGTCAATACAATTGTTCCAGAAGTTGAAGTTTTAAAACACTAAATAAATTACTATCCAAAACACCCCTATGTTAAATAACAAAGTAATACTTAAAAAGCAAAATCCAGTTACTACTTACAGCAGTGCAAAAGAAAGTAGCAGCATTCATATGCAAGTGTGATTTCAGTGTAAACACTTGAAGTTATTACTGAAAATGCCTAGAACGGGTCTGTCCAGAGCTTAAACACAAAGTACTTCCAGGGAACCTGACCCAGCAGTCTCGAGCATCTGGCTTGCCAGCTCCTGGAGGCTTCTATTTCCAGGAGGCCAGTAGCCAGCCGGGGAGCACAGATCCACCGGCAAGGAGACGAGCATGCAGCACAGGCTGGAAATGCTCGCCCGCGGGCCGGTTCGTAGCAGGTTCGGCACGGCTCTTTTGGTGCAAGGCTGCTCGCGGGTATTTAGCCAAGGGTTAAAGCAAGTAACGCCAGGAGTGACCCGCCTGTCCCTGCTACACCAGGATCCG